TTGAATATGGAGAGGGTTGTTTAATTTAGTTAGTTTGTAAGGAAAGTTAAAAGAAGAGAGAATGTGTGAGGAGGATATTAAATTAAATTAAATTATAATAATTATATTACTAATTCTCTATAAAGATATTGAGATGAAACATAAATACAAAGAAAAGAACAAAAGATAAATTTTACTAAAGTTTTTTAATTGCATCAACTTAAATTCTACCAGTTATCATACAATTCTCTGAAAAATATTTATTTATTAATTCATTTTTCTGATACTTTAATGCCAATATACTTATTCATCTACAGTATATATTTTAATAAAATATATATTTGATATTACAATTCTTTTTTTTTAGATAAGATAATTATTCTTTAAACTCTAAATTAATTAACTTTAAAGCTAATTCAAGATAATTTTTATATCAAAAAATAATCATTAGAAAAATATTCTGTTTAAAAAAAAGATTGTCAAAAATATATAATATCAAATATATGTTTTATTGAAAAAATATATTGTAGATAAAATAAGTTGGCAGGTAAATAGATTTTGAAAAATTAAGTAATAGCAATTTAAATAACAATAACTAAATTCTTTTGTCTATAAAATAACTGTCAGTAAATTAATTGTTAATAAAATAAATAGATTTGAAATAAATCTGTTGAGAAATAATAATACTAAAATTATAAAGTTAGAATAATAGTATGTTTGAAAAGTTATCATTATAAATATAAGAAATAGTATAAAAATATAATATTAAAAAATAACAAAACAAGAAAAATATAAATAAATATTAATTTTAATATCAGTTTTGGGTTCAAAATTTTTACTTTGTTTTTTTAATCCTTTCTGAAAATAGAGTTCTTTAAGTTAAATTGAATTGAATATTAGATATATTTAAATTTGATTAAATTAAATAAACCTTTAATTTAAATTTGATTTAATTAAATCAAATCAAATCAAATCAAATTATATTTGAAAATTTTTAAAAATTTTAAAATTTTTGACATTTTTTAAAATTTACAATTTATACAAAATTTTATTAAGTTAATTACTTTTATGTATTAAATAAAAAATGTTTTATAATTGTTTAGACTACAGATAAACTAGTCTAAGTTTCTTTTCTTACTATTGTAAGATATGAAGTTTAAGTTGCAATTTTTTTTGTACAAAAGAGTTTAATTAAATTTTAATAAAAAGACATGGTTTTACTATTAATCTTTTAAAAAAAAATTTTAAGCAAAATATCCCTAGTTAATTAAGAAAAAAATAACAGTTATCTTAATAAAATTTTGTATAAATAGCTATTGAATCTATAGTTTCAATAAAAATTAAATTAAATATTCAAATATTTGTCGAATCAAAGCAAATATTTTGTTAATTTGAATTTGACTTTATTTAAAATTTCTGTATTTAAATTTGATTTGATATCAAATATTTAATCAAATCAAATCAAATCAATTCAATTACAGAATTCTATTGGCAAAGTACAATATCTACAAATGAGAAAAAAAACATTAATAATAACATCAAAAAAAAACAAAAAAAAATAAAGATAATTATTTTGGTACTAGTTTTGGGTTTAAAATCCCAATTCAGATTCTTTTTGCCAAAACACAAAATCTACAAAAAGAAAAAAGCATTAGTAATAGTATTCAAAAAATAAAAAAATATGAACTGGTACTTATCTTGATACCAGTTCTAGATTCAAAATCTTAATCTTGGTTCTCATTGGCCTTGTACAAAACCTACAACATAGAAAAAAGTATTAGTAACAGCATCTAAAAAAGTCAAAACCATGCTAAAAAAAATGATAGTAAAAATGCAACAACGAACTCTCAACAAACATGCAAAATTCAAGAAAAATTTGATCAATAGCGTCGACTTCACTATAATAATTGGCATCATAATGAAATTAATAATCAGAGATGTCAGCTTTGCATCATTATGAGTGATCTACATGCATTCGTACATTGAACCTAGCTGCCTCACAAAATTTTCGCGGATTGGGCCCGCATTACATAATTTTGGCCGGAATTAACTTTTTAACCTTTTCATTCCTAAAATGGAAATTTTTAGAGAAGTAGGCCCGCACAATGGTAAAATTAGCCCAGGAACATTTTTCACTTAATGGGCGGCCGCGATTTCATTAGTAAAATTTTGAGTAATTTTGGCCTAAATTGTTGATCGTCGTCGTTGGCCAATCAAAATCGAGGATTAACCGCTAGGTTTAATCATGCGTACGGTATGTAAAAATCTTAACTCCTTCCAAAAATGGATAAATGAAAATCGTTACTCTTACTAAAAAAAGATTTTGCGAAAATCAGTATAGGCCACGAACCAAACCATCCCTCTCACATTTCATATTACATATTCATGTGGTCGTACTGGTATAATTTATTGGATAATTCAATTATTCGTTCATTAATCTATTTTATCCATTTATCCATCAATCTTGGATATCCAATAGATAACCGGATAAATGATTAGAACACTATGCAGAGTATTGTACATATGTTCTCTCAACTAATTGACATGGTTTACATAATCGAAATTCTCTCAAAATCGATTCTCAATATCAAAATCGATTAATGATTCTTCTAGTCGTTGACCTGCTTTAAAAAATAATTTAAAATAACGCAAACAGATGCAGACAGATGCAAACAGATTTCTTTAAATTTTTAATTCTGTTTTTAGGTTTCTTTTATCGAAATACATTTAATGATTTATGGGAAATAAGCCTACGTATACAATATTGTGAAAAATTATATCAAGCATTTCATTTAATATTGGCTATGATTTCATTAAGAAAATTTATCATAGTTTGTTTTTTCTTTTTTCTAGATTAGAACCTATTAATCGATTAATCGAAATAGCTGGGGTTCAGAATTGATCTCATCCTTAGTTGATCTTTATTATTGTTTAAAGATTCGAAATAGATACGTTTAAAACCATGTTCATTCAAATTTACTCAGCACTTTTAGGCTTTTAATCAACCATTTCTTTCCTTTTCTTTTTTGAAGTTCTTCTAGCTTATGCATTTCTTTTAGCATTAATTCTTTTCTGACTTCTTGTAAAATTATGCCGAGTCTATTGAGTCCATTACCTTTTTTACCTCCATCACCCCAATAAAAATCATTATCAGTGTGTTCGAATAATGGGGCATTACTTGTGGAAAGTAACTTATATAATAAGTTTTCGTGTTGAGAGAATTTTTCAAAAATTGCTGTTTTCATAACGATTTCTTTAAAGATTTTGTTGTTTGGTTGCTTTGGAAATTCCCAGTCTTTACGCTTGAATCTATCATTTTTTCTAGCGATGTTGAATGCGTCACGAGCGCTTGAAGCAAGGCGAATTTTATCCTGAAGCGCTTTAATCTCAAACTTTTGAGCCTGGACTATTAAAATTAATTTTATTTAGAATTATTTTAGCAAAAATATATGTGAATATTTAAAGATACTTAACAATAATTTTCAGAAGTTTTCCATTCTTTAGAAACAATTTGGATGGGAGCATAAAAGAAATTTGTGAACTCGTAATAAGGTTCCTTTTTGTTGTAAAAACGAATTTCATCGTTAGCATTCCTGTCTATCATGAGATTTCTGTGATGGTTCTAACGAAAATTGATTGTAATATAATTAATTAATATATAGTTTGAATTAATTAAATAGATTGGTAAATAATGAATAAATAAATGAAAGGTTAATTTACAAAAAGAACATTGAGTCCTTCCGAAGGGTCACAGATCAGAGCAGTGGGAGAAGCGTTTGCATGAAATTGTTTAATATAATTGTTAATTTCTCTATCCTCATTAGCATTATTTTCATTATTTTTTGGTTGGATAATAACAATATCCAAAGTTAGATTGTCGCAAACTTTACGGATTTTGTGTATGAATTTAGTAATTTCATTACAAAATCTCAAATGAGAAGATACTATAACGACGATTTTCCACCCGTTTGCCCAGCAGTTCAGCGCACAATATCGGACGAAGTTGGTTGCAAACTTTAATTTTTTTGACAAATCTTGGAGGTCGGAAAAGTCACGACAAATGGGATGAAAACCGAATATGTGAAATTGGTCATCGTTCAATTCACGAATCGCATCTTTGTTAAAAGAAATAAAAAGTGCAAGCGAACGAATCTTTATATTGTTGAGTGATAATTTTTTGCTAATTTGTGGGGCTGCATAAATAATATTTAATTTCTTAAACTAAATTTTTATTCAAATTAACAAAAATACTAACCGGCTGTAGGAAACATTATAATAAATTCACAATCTTCGTCCTCAAATAAAAACTCTTGTGACTGTTGTTGTAAGCATTTGTTACGATTACAGAAAAGTTTTAATAGTTTTGTCATTATTAGAAAGATATTTCAATTAATTATAGAAAATATTACCAAGATTTAGAATATTTATCTAGGAAAAAATTAATTATGAAATCAGAAAAATATATATTTGACTTTTGTTTAATCATGTTAGTGTCACCTGTGTAAAGTTTCTTTTACTTTTTTACTCATCTTAGTATAAAATTTTCAAATAATAAACTTTGTTGTGCTTCTACCGTGAGAGATACTGAATAGTCAATTTTATTACTATGAAATGTGAATTATTAAAGCGGAGTGTAAGCATTTCTTGTTTATACTAATAATGGGTGTCACGAACTAAAGTACTGAAATAACATGTCAGAAAATAAAACGTAGTTATATATGCCATAAATCCTGTGATTAGAGACATCACGATCGAGGCTATGGACATTCAGTTATATGCTTGTCAGCCAAATCGTGATAGTCTTAGTAAACAAACGCAAACCAAACATCCGAAGAACTATTACGCGTAGAAAGTTTAAGTGGAAATAAAGAAGAGAAGAATGTAATATTTAGTAGCTGTAATTTCTTATAAATAATAGAACGAAACTTTCGTTAATGTAAAAATCCTTATCCATTACGCTAAAATAATGAAATGAAACATTAGTTAAAACCCCTTTTCATTAAAACAAAATTGTGCGTTTCAAAAGTTTGGGATGTGGACGAAAAGAATTTTGTGTTCAAAGCCTTATACATTTTTTAGAACAGTACTAAAAAATTAGAAAATCGTCAAATGCTGGTTGTAAGTTGCATCAAATTGATAAAATTCTATATATTTAAAAGGTAATTAATCTCAATGCGATTTATTAATCAAAACTTAAAAATATCTATTTTTGCTGCTACTTTCCTATAGTAAAAGGAAGTTGTAACTTGCTGTATTGAGAAATTCCGTATGATGTATGAAAAACAAACCATTCTAAGGAACTTTATAATCCGAATATATGAATCAGTATAAAGCTCCAAATGAATATCTGAATTTGATATATAAGGTCAAATTATTCGTTATCCTTTTGCAGATATCATTTCCGACTATTATATTTAAATCGATTTGCAGAAAATTTCCGTCAATCTAGATATAAGTATAGTTATAACCGTCTAACAAATTTCGCGCATTATTTTATTATAAGGGTGATATAACTCAGTAGTTAATAGAAAATTTCATGAGAAAATCTTGATCTATTTCATTGCATTTGATCTTAAGGACTTGATTGGTCATCGAAATTTTTTGATTTTTGATTTAACGTTAACTGCTACCACTACTATTTTGTCAGGACGGCAGGTTAAAATAAAATGTGTATCCCATTTATCTTATATTCTTTATAAATAATTTCTAATCAAAACCTCCCAGAAAAAAACTAAAAATGCATTCAAAAAAATTTACTACGGCGCATTATTCTCATATTAATATTTTTATTAATATTTTATTTAGTCAGTTTTTTTAAAAAATCTGCCACAATAAATGCTTTCAATTTGCTATGAAATATTAATTGCAATATTCATTTTGTGTTTAAACTTTCGATTAATCTTTAAACAAAGGTCATATCAATATAATATATAACTTTTTCTAATTCCTTTTCTGCGGCAGCTTTATAATATTCAAGCGCTTTTTCTTCATCAACTTTAGTTCCTATTCCAAAACAATAAAAATTACCAACTTCTTTGCAAGCATCAATATTGCCATTGTTAGCAGATTTTTGATATATTTCAAGCGCTAATTCCTCATTTATCTCAGTTCCTATTCCATTACGATAACAATAGGCAAGTTCGAATTGTCCTTTAGGAAACTCTTTTTCTGCTGATTTTTTATAACACTCGAATGCTTTTTCTTGATCAATTTCATTTATTGCACCAACTTCATACATATGTCCAAGAGCATAGTATGCTTTAGCATATCCACCACAAGCTGACAATTGAAATAATTCAAAAGCTTTTTTTACATCTTTTTTAGTTCCCTCTCCAAGTAAATGTGAAAATCCAAAATGATAATTTCCTATAGGAAATCCTCCCTCTGATGCTTTCTTAAAACACTCTAATGCCTTTTCATGATTTATTTCAGTTGCTGCCCCGTATGTATAACAAATACCAAGTGAATTATATGATAATTCATATCCATTTTTTGTCGATTTCTCAAAATATTCAAAAGCTTTTTTTAAATCTCTTCCAATCCATATTCCATAAAAATAACAATCTGCGAGAATGTATTGAATTATGGGATTATTATTATAATTACTTAAGCACCAAACAATTATATTTATTGGGTTTTGTTGATTCAAATTATAAACTTTTTATTGATTACTCAAGATGTCGTCATA